CCGCCGTCGGAGCGGCCATCCAAGGGTGAGGCTCCCTTGGTGCCGACGGTTAGGTGAGTCTCTCTCTCTTATTTTTTTCCTTTCTGTGGGTTTTCTTTAATTTCTCTATTTTATTCCTCCGTTAAGGAGGTGCTGACCAATTCGTCGAATGGATTTTAGCCACTAAAGACTAACGTGGCAGATAATCAAGAGTTAGGGGTGAAATCCTAAAAAAACCTTAATTAGTTCCCTAATCTGCAATTAAATTTTTTTTTCCATTAATCAAGTTTTAAGACACTAACTATTTAGGCTACTACACTTTCGGTTAGGTTGTCGAATAGCTCAGATTCGAAGTGCCAAATCAGAGGCCACAAATCAGGTTTAGAGAACCAGATGAGTCGTCGCGTGTTAACTTGCAATGATCTAAGCAACAAAACTTCTAGTTACCGTTGAGAAATGAGTCGAGTCTACAGCGGGCTTCTAGTTACCATTGAGAAATCTGCGGTGAACTCTCTTACTTTGCCCAAGCACAAGTCAGGTTACGTGTATGTATAACCCCATCCTTATGGCCATATTAATTTTATCCCTAATTTAATTTTCTTCAATTGAAACATAATGGTATGTTTATTGGAATAGCTTAATTATTCAACCAGAAAGGAAAGAAATAGTAATTTAATTGTTTTACGATTTTGAAATATGTACCCCGGAACTAACAAGTAGTCTGTAAAATCACGATTGAGCTTGGACTATAAACTGCAACGACAACTAATTTTGATAATGCTAGGGTTTTTACTGCATAAATCCAAACCAAATAAAAAAAAATCCTTTTTTATCTGTTTATTTCATAAATAAACAATTCCCTCCCAATTCAGAAGCTTTCTCCAGTTGCCGCAACTCGAAATCGTCAGCGATGAGTACGGTCACCGACGGTGACGCTCCCTCCGACGCACCCAACATGACCCTCTACATCAACAACCTCAACGAGAAGATCAAGATCGAAGGTAACCTCACCGCCTCCTCCCTCGTTCTCAAAAACCCTAATTGCTCTTAGGGTTTATCGAATCCCCTTATTTATCTTTCCCTGATCCACTAAACCCTAAAATTGTAAAATTTTTGAGTCTGTGCTATGCTTTGATTGCAACATTGGAAGACTTCAGAATCAAATTTAGGCTAGGTGATTGAATTTGGCTTCTTAAGTCCAATATTTAAATTTACAAAAAAAAATGTTCTTTTATGATCATATTGACCTTTGCATTTTACTTTCTAAAAGAAAGATGTTTTCTTTGTAGAACTTAAAAAGTCCCTGCAAGCTGTTTTCTCTCAGTTTGGTAAAATATTGGAAGTGCTAGCCTTCAAGACATTGAAACATAAAGGACAAGCATGGGTTGTCTTTGAGGACGTCTCTTCGGCGGCCGAGGCACTTAAGAGGATGCAAGGATTTCCGTTCTACGACAAGCCTATGGTGTGTGACTTATGTTTCCGATTCACTTGTGGCTTTCAACTGTTGTTCATGTCGTAATTTTGTGTTTCGATGATGAATAAAAATAGTTATCGGGTCAGTGTTCAAATGCTCAATACATTGGAAAACAGATCCTTACCTTGCTCAGTAACATGGATAATTTTAAGAGCATAATACATTGTAGTTTTCACACGGTAGAGACGTAGTTTCCACGCGGTAGTCTCTACCAATTGATCATTTGGCGGTAACAACCTGTGTATGCAAATTTTCAAAATTGCCCTTTAAAGAAAGCTTACATAAGGAGTGCAACTTGAGTCGGGCTTGACTCGAACCTGACCAGCCCATTGTGCCCGTCGGATGGGGTTGGATTATGCTTTCTAGGACTTTGTTAGTAATGGGGTGGTGAAAAGTAGCTAGAGCTGAGATCGAGTTAGGTTAGGGTCGACTGTACACCAATTTCAACCCAATCAAAAACCTGAAGGGGTACCAATCCAAGTTTTGGGTTAGGGTTTGATTATACACTAATTGACTTTTTTGTTTCCATCTGCATCCCATGTATCCCCAAATTTGAATGCATTGATTTTAGGGTCGGCTTAGGATTCGGTTGAGGTTTAGCTAGGATTAAGATTTAAGTACTGGGACAAATTATTTTTTTGAACTTACTTTATTCTTAAATGATATAAGTATTGTTAGGTAACTAAATTATTTATAAATTATCACTAAATTGTATCAGTAATTACAAATAATATTCTTATGTAATTTGTTAAATATGTTAATTATTGGAATATAATTATATTTTTCTAGTAGAGTTTTTAACAAACAATTCTGTGAACAAAATTAATGCATTTTGGTGAATAGGTACTAACGTTATTATGAATTTTTTTATAGAATATATTTTTGTATTCCTAGTTAATTAGTAATTTCATGCATATGCAAAAATAATGAAAATAATTTTGGGAAGTAGTCGTTAAATCATAATTTTGCCTTGCTCGTATGTCTAAACTTTATCATTTTTTGTACCTGACATCCTTGCCTGCATCTATAGTCTTGACTCTTGCCTATAAAATCATAGCTTTTATCTAGATAATTTACTTGGTGTATAGTGTATACTTTATTTGCTTCGATACATAACATTACTGACATGTTCTAAATATGTGATTCATTGTGTGGATATTGCAGAGAATCCAATATGCTAAGACCAAATCAGATGTTATAGCTAAGGCTGATGGTACTTTTACTCCTCGAGAAAAAAGGAGGCGGCATGATGATAGAGGTTGGAGTGCTTATCACGCCTACTGTTTTTTCTTTATAAGTGGCCTTTGTTTATGTTCTTTATGTTGTCTATCTGTTAGTAACATCAACATGTGATCAGCTTGTTTTTACCTTATAAACATTATAAGCTTAAACGAGCATGGGATATCAGAACAGTAAACTGACATTCATTTATTACTTCATCAAGAAATTTTTATGTTGTCAGGACGCATTAATAAATCTATTATTTGAAATTTTACGATCTTTCTGGGAAAATGTGCTTTTATGTGACTTCCAATGATATGTTGATTTACTTGTAAATATAACTTAGATATGGAATAGTCTGGCGATGATGTTTAGTTGATCATTTGTTTTGCTTGAAACATATCAGTAATTAAAGAGCTGAACTGTGGCCAGACGTCTAGTAGGCTCATTAACCCCTCAAAGTACAGAACAAATTTGTAGGGTTCTTTGGCACCAGTTATATCAGTGCAAAGTTATAAACTAATTATATGTTTTGAGTTAGATGCTTTTGTTTGTGTTATCCTTTTGATTCGATTGTTTTTTCCCCTTTCAATGCAGCTGAAAGGAAGCGCAGGGATCAAAATGCGAATCAGGCTGGTGCCGGTTTGAACCCAGCTTATGCTGGTGCCTATGGTGGTGTCGTACCACTGGTAAGCATTCCTATGTTTTTGGAGCTTATGGATCACCTATATCTCTTCATCATATTTTCCTGCATATTGGAATACGTTTAATATGTATCTTGTTAAAATTCACTCTGAGAGCCTGAGGTCTTCATGCCATTTGTTTAAATTATTATTATTAGACTGCTAAAGAAGTAGGTGTTCATTATTTGTCCATGTGTACATATTATTCTACTACCCTAGGAAACAGAAAGGTAAGGTTTTGTCATATTGCATTCAATATAGAGCAATGCCCAATTACAATACGGATACAAGTTTACATCAACAACAAAGTGTTTGGGATTCTGCTACATGAATCCTATCTTTCCGTTTGCTTTCTGTTTTGGACTTTCTCCTTCATTAAGTTGACAAACAAAGGTTATTGTAGACCTACGCCTAGTCCTTCTTACCCCATTAATTGTAATCTTATCATGTCTCCTCGTTGGTTCTGACCTCCATTCCACGTAACCAAACTGTGAAGTTTCTCTCATTTTATCCTCAGTAGGAGCAACCTCTAACCCGCAACACCGACGCAAGTTTTTATGTCTATATTTACATCAGTAGCATACCATCCATAGCTCTGATTGGTTTTTTTGTTTTTGTTATATTAACGTCTGATTTCCATTTTTGTAATATTTAACGTCTGATTTCTATTTTTGTAATATTTTACACCTTATTTTTCAGCTATCTCAACTACCTTATCCTAGAGGAGCCAAGTCTATACTTCAAGAGCTCCCACCTGTGCCGAACAACATCTTGTTTGTTCAGAACCTCCCTCATGATGCTTCTTCGGTGATGCTGCAAATGGTTTTCAGCCAATATCCCGGTTTTAAGGAGGTCAGGATGGTCGAAGCAAAGCCTGGGATTGCTTTTGTCGAGTATGGGGACGAGATGCAAGCTTCGGTCGCTATGCAAGCTCTTCAGAGCTTCAAGATCACTCCTCAGAGTCCTATGCTCATCAATTATGCAAAGAAATGAAAGGATTCTTTCGAATCTTTCGCTCCATTTTCACGCGACCATAGATGAAACATGGTTTTGTGCAAATCGTGGTTGTATTAAGATTCGATAGAAAATTTTGATTGGTTTTAGTGTACTGATACCTTGGTGGATGAAGGTTTAGAGGAGGGATCTCAGGTTTCTTAAATTGCCTAATACTCATTAGTTGAGATTTTGAGATCATTTTTTTCCAGTGGGTAATGCTCATTGTACTAGGACTACTATTTTGGTCTTGTAAGACGCAAGAATGTGTAATATTTCCTGTGAATTGCAATCATTGCACATTCGTTTCTATTTATTTATTTTTTCCTTTTGATTCGTAGTACCAAAGTAGCATAGGAGTTTAAGGGGCTGTTTGTTTCGATTTTTTTTCCAGCTTGAAAACCTACCAGTGTCCCATCTGTGGCAGGTTTCAAGCAAAATCGCCTCTAAAAGAGGTGATTTTGCTTGAAAGCCTGTCATGTGACAGACTTTCCCCACCTTTCCCTCTCCAAAAAAAAAAAAAAAAAGGAAACAAACCC